CTCTGCTGGACACCACTGCATACACTCGTGGCGCTTGCTGCACCATTTCTTTGATTGTCTTCAGCCTACCACTGCTGCAATCCGTTCACTTTATGATTTCCTTCGCATACGCGCTTCGTTTTACCGCACTTGCAAGTGTTCACTTTTTCGAAGAATCGTTTTGAATGCTCGGTAGTTTATGTAGTAGTACGCAACAACAACAACAGCAAGAGCAGCACATAATACCATAGTGAGTATCGTAATTGTACGTTACAGTGTCGCAGTGCACTACCATAATGCACATTCTAATGTGGCTAGGATTAGGATCCCCCAGTAATGTTATTATTGAGATGCTCCGTCCATAGTTGTGCCAGGCCTTTCGATCTCATGTCTTGTGTCGGTTCATTCGGGCGCTACCCGTAACGATGGGAGAAACACATCGGACAAGTAGTTAGCATTCATCACATGTTACCCCATCATTTCAGAGAAGGGGACGCCCCGGTGAAACGATACTATGGAAGCACACTTGCAGTGTTGAAGCGAGGTGGCCATGCCCTCCTGTTCAAAACCGTTTTGCTGAATGCAGTGACGTATGGATGCGAAACTTGGCCGTTAGCAAGTGCTGAAAGGTCTAACGTTGGTTGTAACAGAAAGAGCATTTAAGCGATCGATGGTTCGAGAGTATTCTGTGACCAAATAAGCATCCACACACTCTGCATCACAGTGTGCGAAATGAATTGTGCCACTGTGATTACAACGGAAAACAGAATCCGATGCACAGAATATCTTGCTCTTCTTGATGACCAGCGATGAACTTGAGGCGTGGTAGCCATGCGTGAATAAACAACCATTCTTGTGACCTCCGGAGAGATGGTGCACGTACACACCGAGGGGTCGTCCGTGTGTGTGTTCGGAAACGAGTGAACACTACCACTATCAGCTAATGGAGGGTGCTGATTTGTAACCACTTTTTCGTAGTTCAGGTTGCTAGCTGCCATTAGCATAAGAGCCATCGTGATCACCATTATTATGCGTTTTAGCTGTGCGGCGCTGTAGCGCTGCTACAGTGGACAAACGCGCATTGTCGAGAGGTCGTCCGTGTGTGTGTTCGGAAACGAGTGGACTTTGTCACCCACTTTCAACTCACCAATCGGGGAAGCTGGGAGGCAGAAATTTTGAGAAATATTCCCATCCCAGAATGTGTCGCCTTCCCATTTTAAAAACTTCGCTCATACTCACCTAGACCTCGCGTACGGACAGCCGAAAAAATATGCATATTTCTTTGACGGGAAACGATTTCGTGAATTAGACAAGATAGAAAGCTGAAACTTTGCAAAGATATTCTTTGTGCATATATAAGTTAAATATTTCAAATTCGGCTGTCGCACCCGCTTGTGCTCACGTCAAAGCTCACAGCTAGTACTGTGCTAACTCGAAAACTAGCCGAAAAACAACAGCTTAAATTTTATCAGAATATTGTTCATATGAGAAAATATATGAAAATATTTATTGTTCATACGGAAAATCATCATTCTGTTTCACTCACTTGCAGTTGTTAACTTCGACTAAGTTGTCATAATATTAAATAGTTTTTGGAGCGTTTTCTCTTCTTGCTTGGTTTCTACTCACTATTCGTTCTTTTTTTTTTCTATGTTCTTAACTTAGACAATAGTACAATTCACGTTTTTATTTCTTCTGCTGCAGTCGTAGTTCGTTAGTAATCTCGTTATCGTTATTCCGATAAAATAGCGCATCTGCAAAGCTTGGCATTTATCACGTGCCTAGATGTTTGAAACGTAGGCCACTAGTTTCAGTGTTATTGTTAGACGCTAGTGAGGACGTTTTCTTGAAATATGCGTTGAGTGAAAAACACACTTGCAAGAAATTTTTCCAGCATAATAAACTAAGTCTCCTTCGCCCCGACCTGTTTTTTTTTTACAAGCTGTGGAACAGGAGGGCTGGGAAATCCCAGCAGTTGATGCAAATACTGATTACAGCCCTTCGTTTGATTAAAATAACAAATTTATACGTCGTTTTGCAAAAAATGTCTTTTACGCTGTGCCATTTCTATGTTGCTGGAGAAACGTCAAGTTTCGTATCGGAGATGTATGTTTGTTTTTTCAGGATTCGTGATGAGTTTATTGAGGTGAAAATGGAAAAGTTTGATGGCTTTGAATACACAAAGAAAGATCTTATTGGTCACGGCGCATTTGCAATCGTCTACAAAGGTCGATATGCCGATGTAAGCTGTCAAGATTTCTCACTCTGTTTGACTTATATGCGCTTAGAATTAGCGAAAAAAACGCAGTCGCGCAGGTAGAAATTGAACGATTTTTCTGAGATGCATTCAGGAGTCAGGTGCTGCAGATTCTGTTGCCCTGGGCAGTAGTAGCAAGATGTTTTTTAGCTCTATACCAGTGCTAAAAAATCATAAGTACTGAATCATCATTTAGCTGCACGTCACCCAGTTTACTGCACGTTAACGTTTATATTTGCTTACACCGACACCTTGATTTCATTGATGCGTTTACTTCTCGCTCTTTTACAGCTGGCAGCTTCTCCGTTCCCTGTTTCATACTTTTCTTATTCACGTAGCTCCACGCAGGTGTTCAAGCGGGTCCTTCCACTGTGCGAAGGAGATAATAATAATGGTAATGATAGTATTAGGAACAGTAATATAATGAGGATAATAATAACAATAATAATAACAATAATAATAATAATAATAATAATAATAATAATAAATAAAGCTTTGCCATATTTTCAATGTTGCTGGTATTGTATTTTATATTTTAAATTACCATTACCATTATTATAGTTGTTGTCG